ACTTTAAAACCAGTTAGTTATTTGGCTCATACCCTTGCAGGCAGTAGCTTCTGATATTCTTCATCTGTTAGTTGTATTATTTTAGAAATCCATGTCTTCATGGGTAATGCTTTAGGATAATAGTTATATGAGCTATCCTTCATAAAGTTCTTAATACATGTCAGGCATTTTATGGAATATGTACATATGTGTGTGTACACAATTTCTCATCCCTTCAAAAAACTTAAGGGATTCACAATTCACAAGTAAAGAAACAGATTCTGATATATGAATGAGCCTTACTAATGAAATCATTGTTAGTAAATTATGGAAGCCCATCTAACTTCAGATCCATTATCTTAGCCCTTGACTAAGATCTGGTGTTAATCAGTACCCTGATTAACATTGGTAATACCAATGTTTCAAAATACTTAGGTGTTATTTTTAGGCTCATTTAAATATTAAGTAAATACCAATCAATCCAAAGTCGCTATGTAATTGACTAACACCAGAAACTTGGTAATCAGTTTTAGGGTAGGATTCATACTTTCATGGACATAAATGTCATTGCAATGTCTTTAATTTAGTCTTATAAAATGATCATTTCTTTGGACCTTTTTGAATTCCACAATGCTTTTAAAATAACTGTAGTTGGGCAGCCCCAGTGGCTCAGTGTTTTAGCGCCACCTTCAGCCCGGGCATGATCCTGGAGACACGGTATTGAGTCCCACATCAGGTTCCCTGCATGGAGCCTGCTTCTCCCTCTGCCTGTGTCTCTGCTTCTCTCTCTCTCTCTCTCTCTCTCTCTGCATGAATAAATAAATCTTTAAAAAAATAAAATAACTGTAGTGTACTTGTTATTACATCTGCAGAATGTCCTTGGTTTGAAGCCTATCTCCAGTAGCACCAGGAGGATGGCTTTTGCTCTTGTTGGAGTTTTTTGCTGTTGAGTTGTAAGAGCTCTTCATATATTCTGAATATGAGACAATTATCAAATATGTGATTGGGAAATATTTTCTTCCATCCTATGGATAGTCTTTTCACTGTCTTGATAATGTACTTTGATGCATAAGTTTTTAATTTTGATGAAGTCTATTTTGCCCTTATTTTCTTTGGCTGTTTGTGCTTTTGCTGGTATATCTAAGAAACTACTGACTAATCCAAAATCACAAAGATTTACAACTGTGTTGTCTTCTAAGTGTTGTGTAATTTTAGCTTGGATACATAGATGTATGATGCATTTTGTATTAATTTTTGTATACGGTGTAAGCTTCATTCTTTTTTATGTGGGTATCCAGTTATTCCCACACCATCTATGGAAAAGACTATTTTGTTCACCACCAAATTGTCTTGGTGCCCTGTTGGAAATGAATTAACCATAGATGTAAGGGTTTATTTCTGTTCTCTTGTGTTGATCTGCATCTCTATTGTTTTGATTACTTAGCCTTGTAGTAAATTTTGAATTGAGAAGATATATGATCTATCCAGGAGGAAGTTCCATGTATAATTGAGAAGGATGTGTTTTCCAACCTTACTGGGTAGAGTGTCTCTTAGGTGTAATTGGTTTCTTTTGTTGAAATCTTCAGTTTCTTTTTTTATTTTTTTAATCATTTTTTAGGTGTTCTTTTTATTATTGGAAGTGTGATATTGAAGTTCCCAACTATTCTTGAATTGTCTATTTCTTCCTGTAATTCTGTCAGTTTTTGCTACATGTATTTTGAGGTCTATTGTTATGTATGTGTACATGTATACATACATTTTATAATTTCATCTTGACGGACTTTTTTTAATCATCATATGTGCTTTTACTCTGGTAATAAGTTTTGTCTTAAAGTCTGTCTTGTCTGATATTGATGTAACTATGGTAGTTCTCTTTGGATATATATTTCCATGGTGTCTTTTTTTTTAATTTTTTTTTATTTATTTACTTATGATAGTCACAGAGAGAGAGAGAGAGAGAGAGAGGCAGAGACACAGGCAGAGGTAGAAGCAGGCTCCATACACCAGGAGCCCGATGTGGGATTTGATCCCGGTCTCCAGGATCGCGCCCCGGGCCAAAGACAGGCGCCAAACCGCTGCGCCACCCAGGGATCCCTCCATGGTGTCTTATGTCTTTTTTGTACCTTCTATTTCCTTTTGTTGTTAGATACTTTTTATTGCATCACTTTAACTCCATTGCCATTTCTTTTTCTTTTCTTTTTTTTTTTAAGATTTCATTTATTTATTTTAGAGAGAGTACATATGCATGAGTGGGAGAGGGGTACAGGGGGAAAAGAGAGGAAGAGAAAATCTCAAGCAGAGCCTGATGCAGCTTCAGCCTCACAAACCCTGCAATCCTGACCTGAGCTGAAACCAAGACTTGGATGTTCAACTAAGCCACCCAGGCCCTCTCTTTTCCTGTTTTTTTTTTTTTTTTTTTTTTTTTTTTTTTTTGTTGTTGTTGTGTTTTTGTTTTTTAATTATTTTCTTAGTCTGCCCTACAGATTACAATTTACTTTTTAACTTAGGTCAGTCTTTTTCATAACTTATACCAATTTAATTTTAATAGTACACAAAAAGTTTGTTCCTCTTTAGCTCTGTTCTTATCTGCCCATCTTTGTGTTGTTACTGTCATGCAAGTTGCAGCTTCATACATTGTGTGCCTATCAGCATACAATTGCATGCAGTTGTTTTTTAAATCAAATAAGAGAAAAAAGGAATTACAGCAAAAACGTATTTATAGTTTTGTATTTCCCTAAGTAGCTGTGTCAGTGTTATTTACTTTTTCATGTTTCACGGATTCAAGTTACTTTTTAATGACCTTTCACTTTACCTCAAGGACTTCTTTTAGTATTTCGCATAGAACATTTCTGCTACTGATGAATTCTCGGTTTTGTTTACCCAAGGATATATTAATTTTTCCATTTTGAAGGATAATTTTGCTGGTTATACAATTCTTTTTTTTTTTTTTTTTTTTTGGTTATACAATTCTTAGTTGACAGTCTTTTTCTTTTAGTACTTGGAATGTGGAATCTCATTGTCTTCTGGCCTCCATGGTTTTTCTTGAGGAATTAGTTTTTGATCTTACTGAGGATCTATTGCACATGATGAGCCACTTCTCTCCTGCTGCCTTAAGATCCTCTCTTTGTCTTTCAACATTTTGATGATGTTGTATGTACATGTGGGTCTCTTTGAGCTTACCCTACATTGAATTGGTTAAGCTTCTTGGATGTGGAGATTAAAGGTTTTCATCAAATTTAGGAGTTTTTTAGCCATTATTTCTCTATGTAATCTTTTTTTCTCCTTACTTTCCTCTCCTTCTGGGTATCTCATTATGTGTATGTTCATGTTTGATGGTATCCCACAGGTCTCTGAGACACTATTCATTTTTCCTTATCATTTTTCCTTTTGTATCTTCTTCCTCAAACTGGATAATCTCAATTGATCTACCTTCAGGTTCACTTATTCTCTCTTCTGCCTAGTTGTATCTGCTGTTAAACCTCTCTGGTGTATTTTTCATTTCAGTTATTATACTTTAAAACTCAAGAATTTCTTTGGATTCTTTATTATCTTCTATATCTATATTCTCTATTTGGTGAGGCATTATTCTCATACTTTAGTTCTTTAGACACAGAATATCCCTTTAGTTTCTTGAATATATTTCAAATAATTGATTTAAAGTCTTTGTCTTGTAAGTCCAGTGTCTCAGCTTCCTCAGGGACAGTTTCTGTTGATTACTTTTTTCTTGTGTATGAATCATATTTCATGTTTCTTTGTATATCACTTAATTTTTAATTTTTATTTATTCATGAGACAGAGAGAGAGAGAGAAAGAGGCAGAGACACAGGCAGAGGGAGAAGCAGGCTCCATGCAGGGAGCCTGATGTGGGACTCAATCCTGGGTCTCAAGGATCAGGCCCTGGGTGGAAGATGGCGCTAAACCACTGAGCCACCCAGGCTGCCCTATCACGTAATTGTTTTAACTGGAGATATTTAATTTAGTGTAGCAACCGTAGAAGTCAAATTCTCCTTCCTACTAGTATTTTTTGTTTTTCTTTCATATTTAGTGACTTTTCCAAACTAATATTGTAAAGTTTATTATGTGTTGTCACGGACATGTGTCTCCTGTTACCTTAGTGGCCAGCTAATGATTGGGCAGAGATTTTATTGAATGCCTAGAAACTAAGTCCTTATCATATTGGAACAAGTCCTTAAGACTCAGCCAGTTGATTTACAACTCTTTCCTTGGCCTTGCCTTTCCTTCTTGTGTTGTACTTACAGGTCATCCTGAGGAGAGAGTTCAGGGCCTTCCCAGGTTTGCCCTGGGCATCTACCTGGTGCGGTGCAGGCACATAGCCTTCTAGATTCCCAGAAGTATGTCAGAGCTATTTAAAGGGCAAATGGATATCTCATCCTCCCACTTCTCTTACTGGCTTTTGATTATACTGTTGTTTGCTCTACTGCCTCAAGCAGCTGAAATCTTATATAATTGCCTCTGATTATTTTCTTTGAATACCCCCAGGGATAAGGCTTTTTGCACTGAATGAGCTCCAAGTCAGGTCAAATGCAATCCTCTAAGAATGAGGTTTTGAAAGAGTTCCACCCTTCTCTGCTTCCTCCAGTGACTCCCAGCCTACTGAGGTCCACTATGGTTACAGCTGTTGGTGGTCAGGGCTCCTGCAGAGCTGGGAGTGGTGGGTGGGAAAAGGACTCATTAAAACATCCCAGAGCTCACCCAAGATTCAGACAAGTTTTTAAAAATGAGTGCTCCTTAGATCTCTGCAAACCTTTTGTTAATTTTCAGAGTTTTGAAAATGTTGATTCTGACAATATTTGCCAGTTTCTTTTTGCTGTAGTAGAGAAAATTTTGAAGGTTCTTACTCATCATTTTCACTGACATCAGTTTTATATTTTTCTTTACGCTATACCTAGATATATATTTAAATGTTAGCTGGATTAATAAACAGTCACTAAAAGAAGAATGGTTCTTTTTTTCCAGAAACTTTTCTGACCTTTTTTTCTACTTCTCCTGTTTTACTTTAGGACTATGATGATGGATATGGCACTGCTTATGATGAACAGAGTTATGATTCCTATGATAACAGCTATAGCACCCCTGCCCAAAGGTAAGAGTTGATCTCTGATTACCCCGTTAACCACTTTTGCCCATCCACATATGTGTACTCTGGGAAATGGGGATAACCAGGAGCAAGGGTAATGTGACTTGGTTTGCATTGTTTTTTGTTTTTTAATTGGAGAAGCACTCTCTGTCTTAACCAACTAGTACATATTATTCCCCCCAAATTTATCATAGTATTAAAGTAATGAGACTTGAAAAATAAAATTGAAAAATTTTTTTACCCTAAAAATGTAACTTAGAGTTCAATATATTCTAAGGAGGAACAGTGTCTACAAAGTCTGTGGCCATGCAAGTCCTAAGGCTCAAAATCACATCAGCAATATGTAAATATCCTACATTGTCAGTGCCTGAGGTGGAAAGAAAGCCCCAGAAGTTTTGTTTGGCATTCAGATAAGGTTTCTGTTTCTTAGCAGCAGTGATCCTGTTTTCTAACAATTTCAAATTCCTATTTGTGAATAATGAGTTAGCTCCAATTCATTTTCTAAAGAGGTGTTTACCCAGAAATAAGTGTTATCAGGCAAAACAGAGCTTGATAGTTACCTCTTGTGATAATACACCTTGATGTTCACTGATATATGAAATCAGTGTTTATTCCTGTTCAGAGTGTTTTCTTAAATGCCTAGAAACCTCTTCCTTTATGTTCAAAATTCTAACTGGAAGACAAAGACATATATACAAAACAAAATATTGTCTTTATTAAGCATAAAAAATATGGACTGTGTGATTATTTTGATGAAGTATAAATTCACCTCTGAACTCATATGGTGCCAGGCAACTTTGAACCAGTAGCTACCATTATGCAGTTCTAGTACCAAGATTGACACGGTTCTTTTTGGCTCATGTCAGAATTTTTCTCATATAACTTGTAACAATTAAGAACCTTCAGACTTGGACTCTCAATTGGTCTTTCGGAATGGAAGCCTGGCACGTTGTGTTTGTATCCTTGACAGTCTTGGGACACCCTATGAGGACTGGTACTAGCTGGTGCTAGCCAGGACTTCACATACAGTATCGCATATAAGTGTCCAGGCCACTTTATCAGGCATGTGGCACTGTTACCCCTGTGGAGATGAAGAAAAGGAACCCAGAGCACAGGATAAAGTATTTGCCAGAAATCTCACATGGAACCTTTACTCACATGTCTAATTTGAATGGTAACAGCAGGGGTTAATGTATCCCTATTTTACAGTTGATGAGATGAGGGCCCAGAGAAGTCAATGACCAATCCAGAATGTGAGCCCAGACTTAGAAAGCTTATAGCCTTTCCACTTTAAGCTGTGATCATGATAATAATAATGATGGTACCATTATTAATATGCTGGATCACAAGCATTCACTCCTTCCATCATTTATTCAGCCTGCACTACTAAATGCCCATCTGTGTTGGGCTCCATGCTTGATGTTTGGAATACAAAGATTATTGAGACAGAGACCCTTTCTTTGAAAAGCTCATAGGCTAGAAGGAAACATTTGCTCAAAAGCAGTGTGATATGATTATCATTGAGAGGTCTGAGGAACAATTCAGTATTTCCATAAGAAGCCAGTGCTAAAGTCTGGCTGAGAATCCTGAGGACATTTCACTGAGTAAAGCGAAAGGGGAGTGGGAGTCACTAGGGGATGAACAGGGAAGGGCATCTCACAAGCTGGAATGGCAGGGCACGGGCCGTGGAGCAGTAACTGCTGGTGGAACTGCTCTTCATCTGTAGAGCTGGGAAGGGTGCTGCACGGGAGGGAGATAAGGTGAGAGGTGGCACAGTCCCTACGGGGCACCGAGGCTCAGGGCTGCAGGCAGCACGCAGGAGCACTACAGAGCCCCGAAGGGCTACAGGCCAGGGCTGCTGCGTTTCGGCTTGGATTCAGACTCATTCCGTGGCAGTGGCAGGGCTGGATGGGCAGGTGGTAGGTCGAGAGGCAGAGGCCAATTAAGAGGCTGGTACATTATAAGGCCTTTAAATGTCAGGGAAGACTCACTTAAAGAGACATCTTGTCTGACAGTCAGTCTGCCTTCTTTGAAGTGATCTTTTCAGTGTTGAAACCCGTCACACCTGAAGGAGGACAGAGAATCACATGAGAATTGCCCACGTTGACAAATGTAGAAGCCACTCTTTGTTAGGTATGCTGAGTATTCGTTTAATCCTCATGACCTGTGACATAAACATCAGTCCTTTCACAGAAGAAGGAAACTGTGATTTATAAGAATTAGGGATCTTGCCTAGGATCGCGCCGCTTACGAGCAGAGGAGCAGGCTTTGCACCCAGGTCTGTGGCTGCACATGTCCTAACTCCACCCTACCAAGCGTCACAGGTGCCGTGAAGCAGCCGGTCCACTGTAAACCCAAGGGAAGTGGCTGTACTGTGGAGCAGGCTGAAAAGATGGTTCTGTGCACTGTATGAGTTTGTGAGAGTTACTGTAACAAATTACCACAGCCCAGGTGGCTTAAGCAACAGAATTTTATTTCCTCACAGTTACAGAGGCTAGTAGAAGTCCAAGTCCAAGGTCTAGGTGTTAGGGGATTTGGTGTTTTCTGAGGCTTCTTCCTGTGGCCTGTGAATGGCACCTCCTCTGTGTGGCCTCATGTGGTCCTTCCCCTGTGCACGCGCATCCCTGGTATCTCCACATGTGTCCACGTTTCCTCTCTTCTGATGGTACCAGTCAGATTGGATTAGGACCCACATGCAGCCTCACTTTAACTGAATCACCTCTTTAAGGGCCCTGTCTCCAAATACAATCCCATTTGGAGGTCCTGGAGGCAAGTGGGGCTTCAACATATGCTCTGAGTGGGGGACCCAATCCAGCCCATAACATGCACATATTAGAACACTGGTTTAAACACAACACTCTGTGTCTCAGAATTAGAAATCCACTCTACACCAGTTAGGGTAGCAAACTTTCAAATCCTCTCCAGGAACAGGTAATATTAACATGGAAATCACCACCACCACCACCTTCAGCTGTTGTACATTTACTGTGTGCCTGCTGCTCTCATCCTCTCTCCCCTCTTGACATGCCCTGAAATGTTGCAGAATTCAAGTCTAAACATGTCATCCCCTTATATACAGCTTCAGAGAAGTTAACTGGGTCATCCACACTCAAAAGACTGAGCAGTGGTCTAGGCTCAAGTTGGCCCCACATTCTTTTTGTCCTTTGTCCCATTGCCTCTCCACTCTCCTCTCATCATGGCTTTGATTTCAGTGGCTGGAATGAATTCCTATTAGTATTTCCCATATACAGTATTCAAAAATCTGATACTTTGTGATGCTTTAGAATCCCGTAGTAATTAGGCCTCCATCTGAACTGGAAGGGTTGCCTTATCAGACTTGGACTACCTTAATCACCTAAAATTTCATTTGTGCTGTGTATTAATGTTGTAAACCAGGACTAATGAAATTAGGAGCCTTATTTTTCCCATTTTACATTAGATCCTTTCAGCATATAGCTGAACTGCCACACTCTCAAGGAGCCTGCAGCCTTAATATTCACTAATAGATAATGCCGTGTAGCACTCAATGATCTGTAATCTACAATTCCTTGATTTTGACACTTCAGTTTCTGTAAAATTAATTTCGTACTTCAATAATTCTCTCAATCAGAACTTGAAAGCCCATTCTGTGCTATAGTTGTAAGGTTCAGTATTACTGCAGAATTCTTTACCTGGTCTGCTTTGAGAGTATAGAGCTATTCTGAAAATATTCTTTGACACATCATGGTGTGGAAGAAAGAGCATGAACAGAGGTTCAGCCGCACTGTCCACCGTGGTAGCCTCTAGCTCATGTGGCTGCTGAACCTTGAAATGTGGCTCATGCAGATTGGGATGAGCCAGACGTGCGGGACACACACCAGGGTCCAAGACTGAGCATGATATAAAGAATATAAAATAACCCTATTACTAAAATTAGTTTTACCTCTTTTTTTTTCTTTCTTTCTTTCTTTCTTCTTTCTTTCTTTCTTTCTTTCTTCTTTCTCTCTTTCTCTCTCTCTCTTTCTTTCTTTCTTTCTGTGGCTACTAGAGAATGTCAAATTACAAATCTCTCTTGGATAATGCAGAGTTAAAGACTCTGGCTCACTCTCTGGCACAGCAGCACAGTGTAGTATCTCCTGATTAAGGCACCCCCTTACCCCTTGGGGTAAGCAAGTAAACTCACCAGGTGCAGAAAGAAAATTAGAGAGGGTCAACCCATATTCATCCTTTTAAAATTTCTATTTCCATGTTTTGTGTTGTATATAAATATAATCTGTTAATACTCTAGTGCATGTGTTACATATAAACAGTTGCAGTAATAAGATCAAAAATGGTTTTCTTTCTGATACAGATGTGTTATCAAAAACTTTTGGATATCTTCTGGCCAACCTATATTTAGACCCCACTTTAATTTTTGCTGGTTATGTGGCTTTGGGCAAGTTATTTGACCTCTCTAAGCCTCACTTTCTAAAATGTAGAACTCTATTTCTTCTTTAGATGGTCAGCCTGAGAGTTGAATGAGACAGGAAAGCCCACAGTCTCTGGGAACGTTTGCAGGATGTGGGGAGCATGTCCTCCATAGTGTCTTTTCCATGAGAGAATTAATAGGGTAATTTGTGTAAGGCAGTTAGGACAGTGTATAAGGAAGGGCAGTGTATAAGGCAGTTAGGATGGTGTGTAAGGCAGGGTGGTGTGTAAGGCAGTTAGGGCGGTGTATAAGCAGTTAGGGCAATGTGTAAGACAGGGCGGTGTGTAAGGTAGCATAGTGTGTAAGGCAGGGCAGTGTATAAGGCAGTTAGGGCAGTGTGTAAGGTAGCATAGTGTGTTAAGGAAGGGCAGTGTGTAAGGCATTTAGGGCGGTGTGTAAGGCAGTTAGGGCGATGTGTAAGGCAGGGCGGTGTGTAAGGCAGTTAGGGTGATGTGTAAGGCAGTTAGGGTGATGTGTAAGGCAGGGCGGTGTGTAAGGTAGCATAGTGTGTAAGGCAGGGCAGTGTGTAAGGCGGTTAGCACATTGTACTAGTAAATCC